ACACATACGCTCAAGACCTGTGCTCTTGCTTAATCCTGTTTGTTGTTTTCTTACCCCTCCACCTCATGGCCAGACTTTACTCCCTCCACACCATGTTGTAAAAACCACCACTTGGTGAGGTCTTCCTGGTCACTCTTAAATAAAATTTCAACACTTCTCCCTCCTCCTGACGTTTTATCAACCCCTTCCCTGGCTTATTTTTTTTCTCCATAGTACTTCTAGAATGTTTAAAGATGCCATCTTGTTTACCTATCTGTCAAACCAGAACTCCACAAGGGCAGGGGCTGTTTTGCTTATTACTCCAGGCCTGGCTCACAGTAAATATTTGTTCAATAAACAAATATTTATTGAACAAATGGAAAACAATGCAAAGGTCTAACTGTCTATGGCCTTGCACTAGAGGTCCCAACACAGAAACCTATATACGTGTGTATAGTCATGAACATTGAAATCTCTTTCATACTTTTTAACATGGAAAAGCAGAATTGATAGCAAATGATTAATACAAATATATACATTGACCTTCACTTGTGCATAACAGTGCAAACAGCAATGACTTAAGTCAGGAGATCTTTCTACTTCCTTACTAAGTAACTGCATGATTTTGGTTAAGTGACATAACCTCTGTGAACCTCAGTTTCTATGTGTACTATAGAAAAGAAAAAATTCAAAAAGAAGACTAATGCCCCTCTCTCACAGAGACATTGTGAGGTGTAAGTTAAATAATATATGTGTAAATAAGGTACAAACTATGAAATATGCAATGTACTCTTAATTATTATCACATTCTATAAGCAAGCACGAGAAATGTTCATACCTTCAAGAAGTAAAGGAATCATGAAAATGGATGTGAAAGTGTTTCTCATAAAAATTTAGTAGAATAATTTCATCAGCTTTCTCTAGGCAAATGTGTGAATTAAATGAGAAAGTAAATTTTAGTTATACTTAGTATGTGTGTTTGAAATACAAATTTAAATTCCCTGTTCTATTATAACATGTTTTTCTTTTCAAAATATAATAATTGTACCTTAGTAAAATCATTCTTTAAAAAAATTTATTCCAAAAATGTACTTTATTGGTTTCATTAAAAACAAAAGAGAAAACTCCCATGCAAAACAGGAGTCATAGTTTTCAACCACCAGATAAATGATTCAAGTAAACTACACAGACACTGAGTTATCTTAATGAACAAATAGCCTTAATCATTATTCCAATTTGACAGGCCCAACTCAGATAGGAAACTCTCCATTATTTGCAAAACAAAAACGCTATCCCAACAGGCACATAACAAGCAAACTGCATTTGATTTAAAGGTCATCTGAAACAGCCCAGGGGCTTAGCAACAGTGTTTGGAGTTGCCCAGAGACCCAAGATGCACATGGACTTGAATTCCTGGTTCTTAGACATATGAAAGATAAACCAATCATTGAGAAATCCACAGGACAAAAATAAAATACTGGCTTTCAAGAGAGATGCCAGGGTAAAATTCCCAATGGCCAACCTCACTTAATCTCTGACAATGACTAATTTGCCTAAGAAATAATGTTAAAGTAAGCAGCAGGGGCTCCCTTCTGAGTTTATATTTAACTCAGAATTAACTGAGAATGATCATTGGGAAATCATCTGTGGGCTGCGGGAAAACAAACCCACTGAGCAATTTTTTTAAATTGCTGAAATGGGACTACTAACAGCTACTAACTATTAAGGCCTCACGAATCCAGTAAATGTTTGCTGAGTGCCTACTGTATGTCAGGCACTCACTGGAAAGGGAGACTCAGCAAAGAACAAAACCAGAAAAATCTCTGTCCTCATGGTGTTTACCGCAATGGCAATCTATTTATTCCTTAAACAGGTCTACTAGCTAGTCATTATTACTTCTAAATTATATAAATTGGCAATTTGCCCAGGACCACATAGCTAATTTGGGGAAGAAACAGAGCGACATCAAGGTCTACCTTCTTCCTTCAATCTTTAACTGGCAAATCTTTTTTTTATTTTTTGGAGACAGGGCCCTTGCTATGTAGCCCAGGCTGGCCCTGAATCCAGAGTCCTGCCTCCACCTCCAGAATGCTGGGATTACAGGTGTGTGCCCTCACACCCAGATTTAACTGGCACACCTCCAACCAAAGCAGCAGAACTTGAACACAAAGTATTTCCCCATGGTTCCCCAGACATTTCTCACTCACAACACCCACAACAGAAAAGTGGAATTGGGAAACTGTTAATAACTTTCTACACTGAATTTTTCATCAGTATTAGCCTGCAGTAAAAGATTTCTTTGTACAAGTGGACTTGCCAGTACAAAAAGGTAAACTCCACACAGGATCTCCACAGTCCAGACTTTAAACTTCCTTCCTTGTCCTAGACACACTTTTACTGGGCATCCATTTATGTGTTAATTGGGTGGCAGATGCTAAAGCCACAGAGATGATTAAGATCATCTGCCACTGAGAAGTTCGCAATCTCTTGGGGCAGACGGGAACACAAACACATCCTTTCCACACACAGTGCTAAGAGGTAGTCCCTGCCCTACAGGAACAGTGGGGGTGGTAAGACCCTATCCTTCCTTGAGCAGTCAGGGAAGATTTCTTGAAGGAGTCCCACGTCTTAAGAAAAAATGAAAATGAAGAAGAAAAAGAACAGTCAGGAACAAACCTCCAGTTCCCTGTGGCTAACACGTAAAGTGCAAAATGGTAAGTATCCACCCATTTATTTATCCAACAAGTATATTTGCCAAGTCTGAGACAAATACTTTGTTGGGTTAACTCTTAAACATCCCAATAACTGCTAACTGCAAGGTGAGTGGTATTATTAGTCTCATTTCAAGGATGATAAAACTGAGGACCAAAGAGCTTAAGTAATTAATAAAATTAATTTATTAATAATTACTATTAAATAATAAGACAGCTCATTCTAATTTCATGCAGCTCTTTTCAAAAGTTGTTTCTTATACTGAGCTATAATTTCTATATACTGATTTCTGTTCTGTTCCTGAAACTTTCTCACAAAATCTGCCCCTTCCTCCAGTGAAGATGATGATGATGGTGATGACAATTTTGATAGTCTGAAAAAATACTATCACAGTGAAAGCAGATAACTATAATACTTATCTGTAATGATTTAATCCAGTAGGAAAGGAGAATGTATTTGACCAAAACTGAGATATTGACCAAAACCTCATACAAAGATTAAAGACACCACTTCATGAACTTTGAACTTCAGCTACACTGTAGGGTCAAAGCAAGGAAGTATGAAGTTAAAAGTTCAAAATGTTAGAAAAAAATCCATATAAATACTCTATGGAGATAAGCTCCTGAAGAAAAACAACAAATTGGCAAAGTCCCCCTCCTCTGATGGACAAAGATAAACACATGACTACTATGGTCTGAATGTCCCCCAAAATTCACATGATGCTACTTAATCCCCACTGTGGTAGTAATAAGAGGGGAAGCTTCTGGGAAGTGATTAATTTATGAGGGCTTTCTCCTTATGAATAGATGAGTGCCTTATAAAAGGCCTGGAAGAATCTAACTTAGGCTCCATTTTGCCCTTCTGCCTTCCACCACAGGAGGGTACATTCTTCAAGGCGCCATCTTGAAAGCAAAGACTAAGTCCTCACTAGGCAGCAAACCTGCAGGCACCTCCATCCCTGGCATGTTTGAAGTCATCACCCCTGTGAGAAATAATTTATCCTGTTTATAAATTACTCAGGGTCAGGTATCTTGTGACAGCAGCGTTAAGTCAAACCCAAAAGGCTTATACAGAAGCTTTTTACAGTCTTCTTAGTCCTTTAAGGTTTTCCTGATTTCAAACACCCTAACTTTGGCACAGTATGCTTAAGCATCCTGAATAATTTATTTGCTCAACTGTCATTTTATAAGACTGAACCCAAGAGTATACTTTGAAGAATTCTATTGAGGACAAGGAGCACAATTTAAAGAAACTGAACAAAAAGAAGCTTTTGGTTTTCCATTTAAGTGTCTCACCTTTTATTTGGAAATAGATATCTGCTGGGTTAGAAAATAGCATGAGTACAATAAATCAAAGGGTTTTTTTGAAAAGTAAGCAATGACTCCTGCCTCAACTCAGCCAACTCCAGGAAAAACCGCACTCCTCATTCCTACAAGCTATTGGCTACATACAGAAGGCCAATTTTGTCCTTCTTCCCAGAAGGACAAATTTGACTTGTTTAAACATGACATGTAAAAGAATAAAATTTACAATCTAAACAATAGCTTTGGTTAAAAGGTATGTATTGGTATATCTCTACTATTTATTCATAGATTTGGGGAAATTTTTGATGAACTGGTTGCTGTCCTCATAGCTAACAATGTTCAAGCCAAACATGAAAATTTGAAGATACACAGAGTCAACTCAATTAACTCCAACAGGATCCAATAGCAAATATGTCACTTCTTAAGGAATAGTGTAAGGCAGAAGAATAAATAGGTGTCAACAGTCAGCCAAGGTGTCTATCAGGCCAAGGTAGAAAGAAATATGGGTTCACCGCCTGCCTGTTGGACTTTGTCAAGTGACTGAACAGAAAAACCTGTTTCCTCCTCAGTAAAAAGGAGACTGTAACAACTACATCCCAGCATGCTAGTCAGGACTCAACTAGGCAATTTATTTAAAGTGCTTCATATAATACTCAGAAGAGTGGGCACTTCAAAGTATCTGTTGAACAAAAACTGAAAATATTATCATTAGTGTAACAATAATAACACAAACTGAGAAAAACAGATGATGCTTCATTATGTGAAGAGGATTTTAAAAATATTTTAATCTTGTTGCTTTTGTTTTTTAAGCATGCTGATAATATAGCCTAAAACACTATCTCTTCATAGCATCCTCTGTCTTTGAAGGAGTAGAAAAATCTGATGAGTGCCCCTTATTGTATTCTATGTGGTTTTATTATCCGGCACTTTCCTAGTTCTATTTGTGCAGCTATTCTACAAGTGCCTCTATCAATCAAACTTCGTCTTTGGACCAGCAAAGCTCACCTGAAAACAATGTTTGTGTGTGAACTGATGTTTTTGCCTCCATACATGGTAGTGATCCAGGAGGGCCTTGGTCTCACATGCCACTGGCTGAAACAGTCATCAGAAAATTTCTTCAAGTTCCACTGCTGAGGTTCAAACATGTCATCAACACCATTACTACAAAAGGGCATGACCATTTCTGTGCAGGCCTATAAGGAAAACCAAGAAAGGATCCAAAAAGAAAATCAGGCATAAAGAAAATGTGAATTCCTGAGTTCAAACCCCGATCCAACCCCCCAAAAAAAATCCATTTGATGTATATTAACACATTTTATATATCACATTCATATATTACAAATAAATATAGATAATGAAAAAAAAGAAAATTAGGCATAAAGAGATAAATTTTCCAGGTCATTCAGTTGGTAAGTAGCAAAGCTAGAGCTTGGACTCAGGCAATGGAGTTTCAGAGTCCATGCTCTTTACTTCTATGCCATATAACCCCTTAATACTGACAGAAAGGTTTGTCTGAGAAGGCACAGAAGTAAAGACCATATATCCCTTTTGTGCAAATGGCCTTCTTTCACATTCAGTACAGTATTTAGCCCTCAAGACAACTCTGGAAGGAAAGCATTATTATTACTGTTAGTCTTATTGTGCAGATAAAGGATTAGAGACTCAGAGACAGTCAAGTTAGACTCCCCTTCCTTTATGTATCCATAAAATGCTTCCTGTATAGGATTTACCAAGATCTATTACAGTGCTATATTAGTTTATTATCTTTCTCACCAGGCTATATTATTTGATGGTGAGATCATACATGATTTATATTTGCATTTTTGAAGCACAGAAGAGAGCCTGACATGTGATAAACATTCATTATTTATTTGGTGATGATTATATACAAGAGTGAATGAATGAATGCATGAATAAAAAAACTTGTCCCTGGTCTCACAGCACAATGCAACAGAAGCCAGAGGATCCAGGTTAGGTGACAAAAATCTGGTCTGGTGTCTGTTACAGCACAACTATGTCAGTAAAAGCAAATTCTGCTTAGGGAAACCATACATGCTTACCTGATAACTCCAACCCTGTGATCCCAGACTGCTAGTTGCTATTTCAGACATATTCAGGCATTTTACCTGGCCTGAATAATTATAATACACATTCAGAGCTTGGAAAATATTCTCCAGCATCAGAGAATCAGATACATCAGGATTATTCAAAAACTGGCACACTACCTGTCATTTTGAGAGATAAACAAGGGAAAAGTCAGAATATGAATATAAAAGCACAATTTAATAGCATAACGAAGAAATATGATTTTTGATTTCATCATAAAATGGTCTCCTTTTTTTTTGTGGTATTAGAGTTTGAACTCAGGGCCTCATGCTTGCTAGGCAGCTGGTCTACCATTTGAGCCACAACACCAGCCCTGATTTCATCATAAAACATCCTTAAGTTATTCGCAAAGTATGCAAAGTGCTCTCCACCTGCCACTCTAGCTTCATCTTTGTAGCTTTTGCTCCAGCTTAGTAAAACCCTTCCCCACCACACCAAGTCCCTTCCTCTTTGCCCCTGTTCACCCTGAAACCCCTTTTCCCACTCTCCCATTCCACTAATGCCTGGCCAACTCATCTTTTATGATACTCAGCTCAAATATCCTCTCCACTCTAAGGTCATTCTGCCTGTTTCCCACTCTAGAAGAACTAAACCACTCCCTTCTTGATGCTTCCACTATACCCTGCACCTACTTCTATCAAAGCCTCTGTAATGCTTTCCTCTACTTATTTCATTCTAGAATATCTCCCCCACCACACAGCAAAGTCTCTGAGAACTAAATGTTTGCTGAATGAAAGACTAAATTTTTATAAAATGCAAAATTTATAAAATTTTATACCAAGTCCCAAAATCTGTGGTGCCATCAGAAGTATATCCTGCAACTCCCCAGACCCCAAATGTTCAGTAGTCAATGACAAGTGCCTGAAATTCTAGCTCTTAAAATCACAGGCAATACTCAGGGTTAGGAGGCAAGGTAGAGACTGCTATAAAAGCCCTGGGTACTTTCTGGGGTACAGAAATATTCTATATCTTCATAGGGGCCTAGGTTACACTACAAATGATACACTTAAGTTTGTGCATTTCACTGTATATAGATTTTAAACCCCCCTAAATAAGAATCATAAACAAATCTCGAACTGAAGTTAATGATATTAGAGTTTAATTATTTAGGAAGATGTCTACAACTTACTTTGAAATACAATAAAAAATAAGATGTTTAAATTGATGGATAGGTAAATATATATGTGATAAATCAAAGACAGCAAAATATTATTTACAAAATTTAGGTGGCAAGGGCTAAGGTTGTAACTCAGTAGTACAGCACTTGCTTTGCATGTACAAGGTTCTGGGTTTGATTCCGAACATCAAAAAAAAAAAAATTTAGGTAGTAAGTTTATGGTGTATTTAATTATTTTAACTTCTCTGAATATTTGAAATATTTTGCAATAAAGTGTTAGAGAAAATTCACAAGCAATGGAATTATGACTAAATCATGACAATAATAAGGACTGATTAAGCCCCAAGTTCACAAAAATTACATCATTTGATCGTCCAAAAATCCTATCAGATTATTGGCCACTAATTTACATGAAAGAAATTGATTCTTAGGCAAAATAAGATAAAGTAAAATAAAATAAAATAAAATACCCTTTATTCAAGGCTAGTAAATGGAGGGCCTACATTTGTCCCCAGGTATCTCGGTTATGAAATATACACTTTATTCATTATGTTACACCACCTAGAAAATGTCCCCTTATTTGATAAAATTTCAAACAGCATCAATGGTAAGGAAGACACTAAGCTCACATCCTCAACCAACACTTTGACACAAATTCAGTGAATTGCTCCTTTCCCATTTCAGACAGAAAAAAAAAAATATATATATATATACAATAGGCAAGTTCTGACAAAAAAGAAATAAGTCCAGAGGAGCCAGGAAGGAAGAAGCCCAGTTATCCCATCTCAGAGGGAGATTCTGGGCAGCAGGAGTGATAAGACTTGGGCTAGCGATATGCTCCCAGTCAGAAACAGAAGGTAATGAGAAGGAGATAAGAAGCCACAGGTAAACCTGGCCCCTTATCACAGTTCTGCCTAAGACCAGCTTCCAGCAGTGATACTATCCTGGAAAAAAGGGAAATTTGGAGCCAGATGTGGTGGTGCATGCCTGTAATTCTAGCATTTGAGAGGTGGAGGCAGGAAGATCATGAGTTGGAAGCCATCCAGGGCTACATAGTGAGACTTGTTTCAAATGTATGAGGGAGGGAATCAGTGCTCAAAGTACATTATGTGCACAAAAGAAGTAGCATAATGAAACCCATTAAAACTATAGGGGAAAATAAGGGAAACTTTAAAAGACAAAGGAAATGAATCAGAGAGAAAATTTGATGCTTCTTCTCAAATATATTCTGTAAGACAATATTTCTATGGAATATTAATTGGTAGTTCGTGAAAAATGATGTCTTAGTCAGATAATTTAAAGAAATGTTGTAATGTTATATTAGCAAATGTGAACAGCTTTCTTGACTGCAGGATTTCTCAGGGCCTTTTTAACATGCTCAACTGCAAAACAACTTTCCATAATGTCACAATGACACTCCCTATATAACCATCATAAACAAAATGTCTTTTAAAAAAATGAAGGTCAGAAAGGTAAAATGAGCCCTGTCCAGGAAGGGTGGAGGGTATAAGGAAAGAGTCAACGAGGGTGAGTATGGTGGAAGTACTATGTATTCATGTATGAAAATGGAACAGTGGGAACTGTTGAAACTGTTCTAAGAAAGGGGAGAGGGGGATGAAGGAGAAAGATGGAGGGGGTGAATCTAAGATATACTGTAAATGTCATAATGTACCCCCAGTACAACTATAATATGCTAACAAACAAAAAAAATTAAAAGTGACTTCCCAGGATTAGAGATGTGGCTTAAGTAGTAGAGTGCCTGCTTTGCAAGCACAAAGTCCTGAGTTCAAACCCCAGTCCCACCAAAAAAAAAAAAAATTACTCTCCAAAAGGAAGATGGCATATGGATTGATAGCAGTAAGTTTTTAGAAATGTAAAGTGTGAGAAAGAAATGCTAAGTGAGGTCAGAAGTATATGACACACCCACGTTTAGGAAGTCCATGAAGAAACAGAATTGAACTAAACTGAGATTTTAACAAACCTATTGTGCCTAAAGCAATAAATGCCAGTTGAAAAAAACATTAAAGGTCAAAACAGTGTTTTACTACTTTGAAAACTCTTGATTATTCATGGCAAGTCAAAAACTACCTAACATCTGCCCAGCACGCTCAGAAAATGTTCCTAAGAAACATGTCAATCAGAAATACTCAAAGTCAGTATGGTAGCTGAGAACCAATCACAGGATGTATCACACTATTGCCAACAGTCAATCAGTATTCTTTCCTGAAACTGGACACCAGCAGCAGTCTCAGCTCTTTCCAAATGCAGCACAGAAGTACAGGGCAGACACAAGGAATACAGAGAAGAGTATTACATTCAAGCGCAGCGTGGTGACAATGTTAGCTGGGAAGGGAGGAAAGAGGTACAATGTACAACAATAAGTGCCTAAAACTCTGGAAAAGAACAGAAGCAAGTGAGTGTGACTCACATGCTGGCATTAGATCCCCTCTTCAAGCTGGAACACTGGGCCTCTGTCAGGCAAAGAAAGGGAGTCCCCATGAATAGCCATCGCTGCAAAGAGCAGTTACTGTCACTCCTTAGAAGACACAAGCATGGCTGGAGACCAGCACCAGCTGACAACACTTAGGTTTCAGCAGCCCCAGAACATCATGGTCAGAAACTTGGACTCTGCTGATAGCAACTCCATGCCCTGATAAAGGGCAATCCTGGCTCCACTGTCCTTGGGAGGTCAGTTCCTCTTGGAGGACTGGGTTTAGTTCTGAGAAGGACACTGGTCAACATGAGAAATTCAGAGGAGAGCAGCCAAAAATGGGGAGCTGAGGAACAGGTGAAACAACCCTAAAACTTGTCAACTGGATCACTCCCAACCTTTCATTATTACAAATAAAGCTACAAAAAAAAAAATTCATAGGGCTAAATCTTTACATACATCCTTAATAGTTTTCTTGAGATAAATTCTAAGAGGAATAACTGGCTCAAAGGAAATAAACATTATGGCCTTTGTAGTTCCTGTCAAACTGCCCTTATAAAAAGGAAGTGCATGGTACTATTTAGAAGGCCTGAAAATATCACTTTTTTCTGTAAACTATTTGCAAATTTATCAGAGGAAATTTATTTTAGGTGGTTCTACAGTTCCTTTCTATCTATCTCAAAGGGTCTGTGAATCCAAGCATCATCCTCTACCATAAACAACACAATCTCTATGTAGCTCTATGCACTTCCTTAACAATTAATAAACGAAGTTTCAAAAAAATCCAAAGCCATATTGGCAAGGCCTCAGCACCATTCCCATGTTTATTCAAAGACTATAGTAATTCAGGACTGGTGGAATGGCTCAAGCAGCAAGAGTGCCTACCTAGCAAGTATTGAAGCCCTGAGTTCAAACCCCAGTGCCACCAAAGAACACAAAAAAGAAGAAGAAAAAGAAACAAAGATTATAGTAATTCAAAAGGAGATAGCTGAGCTGGGCACCAGTGGCTCACGCCTGTAATCCTAGCTATTCAGGAGGCAGAGATCAGGAGAATCACAGTTCGAAGCCAGCCTAGACAAATAGTTCATAAGACCCTATATCGAAAAACCCTTCACAAAAATAGGGCTGGTGGAGTGGCTCAAGGTGAAGGCCCTGAGATTAAGCTCCAGTACAGGGAAAAAAAAGGAGATAGTTGCATACTTTTTCAAAGCTCTGTAGTAAGCATAGCACACATAAACATTCAGTTGACCCATATGAAATTGCCACATTTGTAGGTCACACACAGTCAAATATTGGCAATTTTGGTAAAACATCATAATATTTCAGCTTCACCCTAATAATTTGCAAATATTACCCACTTGATGAGGGTAATATCAACTTGGCCTATCGATTGTTTTACTCAGGAACTGTGATCTAAGAAGATAACAAGGAAGGAATCATGACAACCACTTCTGCCCAAAATACTCAATACCCAGGTAGCACCTGCATTATGCCAATTATATTTGTTGTTAGTTTTTTTCTTTTTGAAATAGGGTCTTGCTATGTAGCCCAGGATGGCCTTGAACTCAAGATTCTCCTGCATCAGCCTCATGAATCCTGGGATTACAGGCATGCACTATCATGCCCAGCTATTTCATAGCTTCTTCTAAACAATGTCAACCTAAGGCCATAAATGCACTGAAATAGGAACAGCTGGGGCTGAGGTTGCTAGAACAACTCAGAAGAAATTCCCTGAGGCGAGTACTTTCCTACTCTGACTTCTGACTTCTGGAGCAACATATAATGACCATCCCCATTTCACAGAGAAAAACAAGCGCTGAAAGATCTGGCTACAGACACACAATTTAGAAACTGTGAAAATAGGTTTGGAACCCAGAGTATTATACCAAAGTACTGGTATAATAATCTTCCTTCCTGATATTATATAGTCACAAGCCATTGTTCTTACACTATAACTAGCATCAATTTACTGTATACCAGAGAGGTTAAGAAAATTGTCCAACACTACACAGAGAGGTTAAGCACAGAGAGGTTAAGAAAATTGTCCAACACTACACAGCAATGAAGTGGGAAAGCTGGGATTCAAATGCAAACTCACCCTGGAGCCTCCACTTGCAAACACTATACTACATGTACTCAGCTTGGAAGGTTACAGTATAAGAGAAAAAAAACACACCTAAGTACACCCACAGTCTGTCTCACGCTTGCCTTTTTAAATACTGTCTTACTCTTAGATGGTCTTTAAATTTTTCTAAATGTATTTGTTTGGGGTAAAAACTTAGAAGGGATTCTGTGGCATATGAAATTTAAAAAAAAATGAATATGTAGTAGTAAAAAGGAAAGTGTAAGTAAAAGAATAATGTGAGGCTCAAGACTCAACACTTGAAATGGACAGAACTAATTCACTTCCTGTGGCTTTGTATGAAACACTAAGAGCGTTAGAAGCCTGTTTTAATAATCCCAGTTTTGAAGAGTACAGAAATAGTGTAGAGAGTAGAACATTCCTACAGCCTTACAGCCAAACTGATCAGATCTGCACCCATATATTTAGGTTCTGCCCTTTGGCCCCACATATACCAGAGAAAGTAAAGATAATGGTTCGTTTAAAAGCTTTGAGTGTCCCTACCTAGGCAATAAACATTTGAATAAAAGGAAGGGGGCCGGGGGGGGGGGGCACTGGCAAAGAGAATTTTTTAAAAGAGGAAGGAAGGAAGATAGGTTTAAAAAAAAAAAAAAAAAGACCAATCTCCTCTCAGAGAGTATGGTCCATGGTCCATCCACATTAGAAAAAGGATTAAGCAGATACATTCAGCTTCTCTAACAGATTTTCCTTCTCTGAAGTTTCAATACCCCTCTCACTCACTCAGATAATCACATTAGTTTTGTCATTAAAAGCTCCCTTTTCACAGAATGCACTTAAACCGCTTAAACCACCCAGAGAGGTCGCATACATTACCAGACACGAAGACAAACGGAAGAGATTTTCCCTCTTATGTCTTACTATTTCACTATACCTATTTGCATGTTCAGAAGACAGCCAAAATATTTGATTGGTTATCAGCTAAAAAAGTGATTCTAAAATTAACCAACTACAGCTCTCTCAACTGAGAAGAGATCTGTAGTTCTTATGTGGGCTGAACAGTCAAATGACGGAGAGGTTTTCTATTTCCCTTTTCTCTTCTTTCTTGTGTTCTACTGGCCAAGTCCATCATTACTTCTGCATGAATGTTGCAGCTTCTGTTAACAGTAAACAAAAGCAAATGGAGTCTGAGTGTGCAAAGCCCAAAAACAAATTAAAAGGAATGATCTTGAATTGACACGGAAAATGGCATTTACCTACTGCCCACGGATCCTTCAGAACTGTGCAGGGTCCAGACAGAATTGGAAATCACCTGCTTTTTTTCATAACCGAACTGTTACATATTATCTCGCCAGCCTAAGCCTGAGTTACAGACTTAGAAAAGGACGGCTGTTTGTCAGCCCTTTAAAAAGGAGGAAGTGTATCAGAGGGAGGAGGAGTCCTGGCTAAATGGAACTATCCAAGTGAAAGAGTGGTCCCCAACTGGGTAGTGTTTCGGGGATTAGTGGGTTGGGAGAACAGAGAGGAGGTCAAGAAAGGAGAAATAGAATGGGCAGTGAAAGAAAGTGATCTGAAGCTAACAGTTTAGGAGGGAGACACAGCAGAAAAATTCTGAAAAATCAGATGGGGAGCTAAGTACAGGAGGAAACTGCAAACCAAGGCAATGTAGGGTTCTCAAACAAGAGGCCAGAGAAATTGCTTTTGGAGGGAAGCAGATCATAAACATTTTAGAAGCAATCACACATTCCCTATTATCAGGTTGGAGGTGTAGCTCAGTGGTAAAGTGCTTGCCTAGCATACAAGAGGTCCTGGGTTCTATCCTCACCCCACTGCCACCCAAAAGAATTCCTTAATATGTCAGGAAAAAGGATAACTTTGATAAGAAATAACTGAAGAAAATGACAAAAAGTAATCCTGGATAAAAGAATTGACTGTGTGTGACCTACAAACGTGGCAACATCATATGGGTCAACTGGATTCAAACTTCTATAGTGTGTGTGTGTGTGTGTGTGTGCGCGCGCATGTGTGTGCATACACACAAAAGATAAAAAGGATTATGTTACATCAAACATAGACAACAAAATATTCAAAGGGTACTCCATTGGTTTCAAGTGAGTATTTAGGAGAGTGCAAGAAAAGTATTTTTCTATATTTAAGACTCAACAGCCAAACACCTCAGAAGGAACATTAAAGAAGTAGAGAGGAAATCAAAATTAGACTGCTTACAGTTCTGAATCATGATAACCTAGCTAACACTGAAAAGCTATATTCCTCTACTCTATTTCTAGATCAGATGTCAGAAAACCACAGCTTCTAAGCCAAATGCAGCCCACTGCCTGTTTTTATAAATAAACTATAATTAGTCATCCTTCTTTGTTTATTGATTATCTGTGGCTGCTTTGGCTGAAAAGCAGACTCCTTATTTGGGCACACGATTAACTAAAATTGAGAAGCTTGGGGGTCACCTCTGCCTCCATTTTGTATCTGTCTTTGCTCTAAGCCATTCTCTTTGCAGTCACTTTGTAATCACCTTGGATTCCAGAAAGGACAGAACTGATAACATCATTATAACAAGGAACTTCCCCTGAGGAACAATGGAGCCTACAGGACAGACCATTCCTCCAAGTGAGGACAATTACCTATAATGATGAGGCTGTTCCCTGGAACAGGAGTAATCACCTCATGGGAACCAGATTGCTCCCCTCAAGTGATGACAGTAATGACATCTTCTCCAGAACCCCTCTCAGAACCCTTGGACTGAGATAATGGTGAACCATACCACACCTGTGACTGGGACTGTTTAACTATGCATACCTTTGTTCCCTACCTCCAGTTCCTTGTCTATTTAAACCTATAACTCATGTCTGTACCCCAAAGATGGTAGAAGATGGGCTAAGAGCTTACTCTGTCTCTTCCCACAGCATGTCCCAAGCCATGTAATAAATCTTCTTTCTCTGCTGTCACCATGCCTCTTTATTTGGTGTTTAGGGGCAGGCGGCCAGACCTGGCATATGGAATCTCAGGAGTTTGAGACTTGAGTCCCAAACTCTGGTTTCAGCTCTGCAGAATTGAGTAATTGTGGCCCACAAGGCCTAAAATCTAGCCCTTTATGAATAAAGTTTGCCAATTCCTATTTGGCAATTCCCACTGTTTTTGTCATCTGATAATTCATTTGTTCTTCAAGTGGGAATAAAGATGTACATGGAATTCTCACTTTGTGCACCAACAGAATACAGAGTTGAACATGATATTTGGATCCAGGTTCTCTTACAAAAGAGAGATCTGCTCTTTTTAATAGCTTTGTCTTATCAATATCCAATTAAATTCAATACAGATATACCTCCACCCTACTATGTGCAAGACACTTTGACATAAAGAAAAATAACTCTAATAGCAAATGTTTTTGTTTCATTATAATTATAAAGTTTTAAGCAAGGTGTTTAATAGATCAAAGGGACAGTTAAATTAAAAGTGCTTTTGAAACCTGGCTCTCCTATAACCAATTTTATATTCATTTCCTGTTTCCATTTTAGCTGTAGAGTCTATTATATCCTCAAAACATAACCATCAAGTTGGCCAGCTTTTGTTTTTAAAACTAAAAAGAAAGCTCTTAACAAAAGACTGATTAAAGAAGAACATACACAATCAATAATTGTGGCATGAAAAGAACCTTAAAAATTATAAAAGTACTTGAAATGGTGAATTGTATTTTTACATTTGCAAAAGAACCTAAAATTGATGTAATGTGTCTTTGCACTTCTCAGAATGTCTTCACATCCAATATTTTATTTGGCCCTTTATATAACTATTACTATCCTATTCTGCAGAGAAAGACATGGTGCTCAAGGCAGAGAGCCCCTCGTCCAAGATCACACAGCTAGTAAGCAGCAGTTCTGGGCCAAAACCTCACCTTCCGGATATAAGAGAGCACTCCTTCCACTCTGCCATACAGCATGGGGAGTATGCTTCATGACGTGTGTCACATTTATGAAGTATTAACCATGTATTACATGGATTTAGGAATTCTATCCCAAAGACCAAATATGTTACTTATACAAAATGCACAGCCTAGGATTTGGCACATAGAAATTATTCCATTAACAGCAACTCTCAGTCTTATTTCTTATTCATGTGATTCTATAACTGATGCAATTTATCTCCAGTTTTTAAAAGAGGAAATGAAGGTTCAGAAACATAGTTAAAAAGTCCAAGGTTGACTAAACAGAAAGTGGCTGAACCCAGGACTCCAGTCCAGCCTGACTAGCAGAGAAACCTGATATCATGGGGATTTCCTCTGATGCTGAAAGTCAGAGAATACACATGAAAGAGAAATGAGATACATACATTATTAAACATGAAGAGAGGGCATTTTTCTATTACCTTGATAGGCCAAGCAGGCAAAGGCTGTAAAAAGTTAGACTCATAAGGGTAGTCCACCATGGCCAGATTCACCCAGGTTTCAGTAATCCAGTCTTTCAAACGTTCGATGTCCTCAGAAGTTAAGGGGCTACATAGGCGAAGCATTTGAGAAAGCCCCCGCAGACCACTGCCTAGGGACAGAAACACATTGCTGGAATCTAAAAATGTGCTAGTCAGCAAAAGTCCTTGCAGATCATTTACTGTTCACTTAGCATCACAGAAAACACAACTTCCTATACCACTTCTCCAAGTTTTCAACATTCAATAACGTTTTTTTTAGAGCAGCTGGGTAATCCCATGATAGCCATCTATGATGTCTACCCTCATGGTATTTATCAAAATTAATATCCTTAAGATTCTATCGAAATAAATAAAATACATAGGAACACTGTAGAACAATGTGAATGCATAAAATACAACTAAATAAAACAAATGAATGCAACTAACAAATAGTGCATTGAGCAAAAACAGCAGTCAAAATAAATGTATACTGTTATTCTGATTACTAAAAACTTCAAAAACAAATAAAATTAACCTATAGTTCAAGGAGCAAAGACAGTGATTAACTGGGTAGGTGTGCAGGAAATGAGAACAGCATCAGAGATTTTAAGATGTTGATTGTGTTCTTTCTTGATCTGTACACTAATTATACAAGATACTAACTTTGTGAAAATCATCAAGCTATACATTTTGATTTGTGTAGTTAGTATATGCATACTATGCTTTAATAAAATGTGTTTTTAAAAAATGGCAGTATTGGCTGGGTGCAGTGGCTCTTGTCTATAATCCCAGTAAACAATAATCCCAGCTACTTTGAGGTAGAGATAGAAGGATCACAATTTGAGGCCAGTCCAGGCAAAAAAATTAATAAGATTCCCTTCTCAAAGAATAAACCATGTGTTACAGTTCACGCCTATAATTCCAGCCACACAGAAGGTGTAGGTAGAAGGATCACAGTCTAAGACTGACTCTGGAAAAAAGCTCAAGATGCTATCTGAAAAATAACTCTTGTAAAAGGCTGGGGGGTGTGGTTCAAGCAGTAGAGTGCCTGCCTAGCAAGCTTCAGGCCCTGACTTCAAACCCCAATTTCACACACACACAAAAAAAGTGGAAATATCAAATTTAACAAATAAAAGGTTTTTAAAAAAAGAAAAACTCAGAAAAGTAATTGAACTTACTTGTACTTGCAAGTCGGTCAATGGCAGCCCAGGACCTGCGGATGCTCTCTGAACAATTTGAGTTACTTTTCCTAAAGTCTTCAGTTACTATCTTCATAAACAAACCACAAGGAACCAAATCCTCAAACTGCCAGATAGGGGCAGAAGCTGCAAGAGCTCTAAATGGTAAGGGAAACAGGAGAAAAGAGAGAAGTATATAACTTACCTAGCTCAAGTTTTAAAATGGAAATTGAGGGCTCGGGGCACGGCTCAAGCAGCAGAGCACCTGCTTAGCAAACAAACTTGAGTTCAAATCCCAGTAACGCCAAAGAAAAAAGTTTTTAAAAAAAGAAGTGCTCATGTCCAGATACATAAACTTACCCAACTACCAAGTGAGGGTATTTCATCCTGAACCAGGCTGCAAGCATGCCACCATAAGAGCCACCTATCGCAATGACAGGCTGATTTTCAGCTCCTGGGATTGTTTTTTTCAAGTGTTTGATTAACTCTGCAAAATCAGCCAGAGCTTGTTCTGATGTCAGGAAATTCAAGTTTTGGGAATCCTAAGGAAAGAAAATAAAGAACAAGAGTGTAAATTCACACAGAAGAGCAGCGTAGGCATAGCATATATCCAGGAAAGAGCCTGAGTCATGTAAGCTGTTCTCCAAGTAGAATTCCTTTGTGCCCTGAGTATAATAACTAGGACACAATTGCCTTGCTTACAATAATGCTTAGTTTAAAAGGTAAGTTACTTAAAGAAAAATATTAAGTAAATAATAGTATAGGTGGAAAATTACTACATCCAGAATCACAAGAATAGAATATAAGTGACTCAGTTGAGGAAACGTGTCCTGGTTTGTACATATATAGAGTCTGAGGCTAGAGCCAGAATTCTTGTAAGAAAAGGGAAAGCTAACGGGAATCGCAGGGGTCAGAAGCTAATAGAGCTAATATGGTCTTATTTTATTGAAAAACACATTAGACAAATATTTACATAATCATATTTTTCCAGAGGCAGGTCCAATAACTTAAGTGTATAATTTATAAGCAAAATTACTTACTGACACTTGAAATTAATGAAAATTCCCCTACACTGTCTCTGCAGCCATAAAGCAATGCTGGCACACTGAGCTAAAAAGTGACTCACAAGCTTGATGGTGGAGCTCTTGCCTAGCATGTGTGAGACCCTGGGTTTGATATCTAGCACAAGAAGGGGGGTAGGTGAAGGGGAGGGACTAGGGCTGGCTAAGATTCAAAAGGTAATTTGGCTTTAAAAGCTTCATTGTTGAGCTGGTGGTATAGATTAACAGTAAAGAGTTTGCTTAGCATGGGCAAGGCCCAAGGTTTGATCCCCAGCACCAAAAACAAACAAACAAACAAACAAAAAAAAACACCTCAATCTGCCCAAATTATATATATAAAGGAAAGAGTAATGCTGGGAACCCAAAGCAACAGTCTAACAAGGTCACTGTGGCTTAGCAGCATTCCTGGCAAGGTCGGAATCTGCAGGTGCACCATGCCTCTGTCACAGTGGGAAGGAATTAAATGGTTTCCCTTGACTAAAAAGAAGTTTATACTTAGTCAAGAACACTGGCGTAAGAATGCAGGGTAGCCAAAAGACTAAAAATCGTATGTTCTCCCTCATATGCGGACATTAGATCAAGGGCAAACACAACAAGGGGATTGGACTTTGAGCACATGATAAAAACGAGAGCACACAAGGGAGATATGAGGATAGGTAAGACACCTAAAAAACTAGATAGCATTTGTTGCCCTCAACACAGAGAAACTAAAGCAGATACTTTAAAGCAACTGAGGCCAATAGGAGAAGGGGACCAGGAATAGAGAAAAGGTTAGTTCGAGAAGAATTAACTTAGAAGGTAACACCCATGCACAGGAAATCAATGCGAGTCAACTCCCTGTATAGCTATCCTTATCTCAACTAGCAAAAACCCTTGTTCCTTCCTATTATTGCTTATACTCTCTCTTCAACAAAATTAGAGGTAAGGGCAAAATAGTTTCTGCAGGGTATCGAGGGGGTGGGTGGTAAGGGAGAGGGTGGAGGGAGAGGGGAGAAATGACCCAAACATGTATGCACATATGAAAAAAAAAATTAAAAAAAAGAATGCAGGGTGGCAAAAACAGAAAGGTTGTAACTAGATAAGAGTATTTTTGATGTTTAAGTCTCTTCCTCTTTCATATAAAGCTGGCTGAGAAAAATAAAATTTTGCCAGTTGGTTACAGCCCTCATCTTTTTGGACAGGCCCTAACCAGAGGCTTATTAGATTGGCACTACCCAGTGGCCACCTTTTTTCAATGTGTTGATGACTTACTTCTGTGCAGAGCCACAGAGCCCCTCATCTGCTGGGCAACTGAGTACCTTTTAAACTTTCTGGCCTCCTGGGGATACAGAGTCTCTAAAAAAAGAAAAAAAAGCTCAACTATGCCTCCCGCAGGTCACCTACCTAGGTGTGGTCTTAAAGGGACAGGCTTACTCTCTGAGTCATGAGCAAATCCACCAATCCTCCATTTCCCACTCCCGCATACCATAAAGCAGCTTAAGAGCTTTCTTGAGAGTTACAGGATTTTACAAAATCTGGATCCCTTGCCAGACTGCTTTTCATGCTCCTGCTAATATTCCTATTTGGGCCTTGTATAATAAATGCTCTCCCCAGATTCATATCTCAACAGGTCCAATGGATCAAACTCCAGCTCTTGGTCAAGAAATACTCACCTCTGCCTACACATGAGCCCTCCAGACCATTGTGTCAGGGGTCCCTGGAGACTACACAGGTCAACCCCTGAGACAAGTACCCCCTCCCCTATCTTCCCATCACCCCATTGTCAGCACAAAGCAGCTAGATGAGTCATCACCCCTCTCCCCAGCAACAGTTGGGTGCTTATCTCAGAGGGGGGATTTGTTGGGTCTGATAACCTAAGGCAGATAAATTGGTATCCCATCCCCCTAGAGAGTCATATCATTCCTGCATCCTGAGGAGTTAGAGGCCTGCATTCCTGCACCCTGAGAGGGAGTTATAAATTGCATTTCCACATCCTAAAAATGCATTCTGAATTTGCTCTCTAGATTGTTTCCCCTCTCCCAATAAAGGTACAAACCACACCAGTTCACCTAAAAAAAGCCCAGACATCCACGGCCAATAAAAAAAAAACCCACCTAACTCAGAGCTTGGACATCCATAAAAACCCCGGCCTTCACCTGAGCAGGGAGCTACCGATTTCCGGGCACCCTTACTCTTTTCTAGCTGTAGCCTTTCCTTTCTCTCTTATAAATCCTACTTATATTAAAAAAAAAAAAAAAACGGGCATCAGTAAGGTGTCATGCATCCTTCCAATGGATATGCATTACTTCCAAACCTTACAATGATTCTCATTGGGATTAAAAACACATCAAGCATCATCTACAAGGAGTTTGGTCCCATACAGATTTAAGCATAGATTTGATGGCTTTGCATAAGAAAACTTGGATATCCAAAATAGCAAAGTGCCTATTATCCATCCAGAGAAAGTAGCAAATAAAATGCTGTATGCATTACAAGGATTTAACTCCTTTAACATATTAAGACACTCATTTTGGATTATGCTTAAATGGCTTTTCTAATTTTACTTATTCTGTGTTTATTTCCAGTCATCTGTCGAATTGGCATGTACCAGCTCTTCAAATTAAAAGTGGACCTTCACCACATTCAATTAAAAAATATAAAAGAGAGGAGAAGTTGGGAACCAAAAGCCACAGTCTGGCAAGGTTTCCCTTGACTGAAAAGAAGTTTATACTTAGTCAAGGACACTGGCAGTAAGAATGCAGGGTGGAAAACACAGAAAGGTTGTAACTAGGTCAGAGTATTTTTGATGTTTAAGTCTCTTCCTCTTTTGTATAAAGCTGGCTTAGAAAAATAAAATTTTGCCAGTTGATCATCAGCCTTGTATGTGTCTTGTCTTGTCTTGTTCACTCCTGCCCTGAGCACTTACTTTTGGGTTAAGGACCTCTGCAATTCCAGCAGACAAAGTGCAAATTATTGAAATTTCACACAGTTCAAATTAAAGCTATTTCACAATGGTGCATATAAGAAGAAAATGTTCTAAATTTAAAAAATTAAAAAGGAAGGAGGGAGGAAGGGAAGGAAAAGAAAAAAGCAAAGCAAAGCCAGGCATGATGGTGCATACCTATAATTCTACCACTGGGGAAGCAGAGGCAGGAGGACCATGAGTTCAAGGCCAGCCTGACTGACACAGCAAGACCCTATCTCACTAACCAAAACAACAGCAACAACAACAAAAGGACCTTTACCCTTAAAAGACAATATATCCTTACCTTGAATGAGTCCTCACCAAAGGGAAGAGATTCTCCATAGTATCGATGTTCAGCAAACACTAACATAGCTTTCAGCTCCTCAGCCACATCCCACATGAACCCCTAGAAGAGTTTACAAATTCACAAGTGAAATCAGGATGTGAAAAACACCACTAAACCTTATTTCAAACTCTGTGAAATAGATATTAAACCAGACCAGAAAGAGCTCTCTGAAAAGTGGTGCAATTTCTGTTTTTTTCTACATTTGTATGGCATAATTGCTGTCTCAGTGCTGAACATCAGTCTCACACTGTATTAGAGTGAAACAATTAAAAATAAGCCCAGATTGTTCATCCCCTAGTCATTCCAACTCTTCTTTTCCTGACCCTCTAGCCCTGCAATCAGCCTTATGTCTCAGTCTTCACTGTGTCAAATGTTCTAGAGAGAGCTGAAGATTACTAAATGAGCCACCTACACATGGGCATTTACAACATAAAAGAGAAACCACCACAAATAAACATACTGCATCCCTTGGGATTTTAGCTTAATCTTATTTACTAGAAAATAAGTTGTAATACCAGCAGCTGATATTAACTGAGTGCTGCTTACAATGTGTTAAGACACTGTTCTAACACTTCATATGTATTAATTCTCCTCATTATCAGAACAAACAAGAAACAGGCACTTTGATTTTACAGACAAGACTGCTGGGAAACAAGACTTGAAACAACCTCGACATTCATAGAGCTAGTAAGCGGCAGAGCCAAGATTCAAACACTAGCTGTCTGGCTCCAGAGCACAGTCATGAAGGGCTATTAGATTTCTTGCCCCAACACCTATGGCTGGCCAGTATTCACTTGCTGAGTTTTTTTACTTACCTCCATTTTGGCTTCAGAATCCTCAACAACACATTCCAGGCAGCCAACATCAATTGATTGGGTGATTTAGCAAAGATTACAACTAATTTTCATTCCTGATGCAAGTTGTTGCTTTCTAATGAGTTACTATTCCCAAGGTCTAAGAACCCCAAACTGTTTTTGTTTGTTCTGATAAATAAGTGAGCAATTAAGAGAGTTATATAAATGTAAGGATGGAGAATCTAATCTGATACCTGTAATCGTTTCAATAACCCCACCTTCTCTTTGAAGGACCTACTCATTGGCTGCCACATATCCACAGGTCCTTCCCCATGCCCTACTCTGCCTGTCCTACCCTGGCAGTACTGATCATCCCTCCCTCAACACCACTGTTCTAGGAAGAGATCTATGTTACCATGCTGCAATATTTGCTTTCCTGTAGTCTTACCTATGAGACTGTGTCTTAAGAATTAAGAATTAGCCATCAAAATACCCAGGCCTCTGTGGAATTGACTGTAGACTTTTTGAGAGGAAGCAATTTAATGGAAATGTTGCAGAATGTAATAAGCAATTATTTGTCTGTACCTATTTCAGGGGTATTTCTACTTTTCAAAAGAAGCCAATGTAATCTATTAACAAGTATTGACGTTCTGAGCCTGAAAGATCTTTAATCTTATTTAGTCTTTACAGCACTAGGAGCTAGATATTTTCACTGTACCCATTGAACAGATGAGAAAACTGGTGCATAGAATACAAATCTTGCCCAAAGTCAAAAGGCAAAGTAGCAAAATCAGAACTTAAATGTTGTCAGACTAGTTGAATTCTTTACTCTTGATCTGTACTATACTGCCTCTCAACAAAGGAATGTTCAGAAGTGGATGTGCAAGTAGAATATTTTACCATGCAAAGGACAATGTCTAGGACTAGGGAGAGCCAGGATCGGCCGCTAGTTAGTTCTCTGGAACTAGGCTAAGTGTCTCTTCCTTCCACCTCTTTTGAGGACAGGCATTCCCCACCACACCTTAAGATCTGTCACAGAGCCTTCAGAGCAGTGGGGTCTGGTGAAGGCCGGCACAGTTCCCTGCCTATAATAAAAGAGAACAAGAGCTGAGAAACTCAATAGACAGAAGTGGCCCTGTGGCCTTGGCATAAAAGGGAAGTCACAAACAAGGAGCAGAAAAGAGACAAGGCAGTGCTGTTGTCACACAGAATAACTGAGCAGGAATCTGATGCTCAGGAAGTCCTGTTTTCATCCGTCACTGACCAAAAAGAAACAGATAGCCTAGGATCTCATTTGGCGGAGATTGATTTTATTTTCCCTATGTTTAGATTCTAAACATTGCGAAGGGAATAATCATAAATGAGGACTGCAGTAACAGTGTAATTGGATTCATGTCCTCACTTTCAGTTCAATTCAGTTCAGCAAAACATTTACTGAGCCCTCCTGACTAACCACAGACCTCGAGGCGCTGCCCGTTGGAGACAATATGTTTATCACCCACTTTACAATAATTTACAGACTAGCTTTCTGGTAAAAAGTGACATCTTCTAGTCACAGCACTGTCATGTTGAAAGGGGACTTTCTTCTTGGCATGAGTCCTATATTAAATTTTACTAATGGATTTAAGTATTGTAAAAGTTGACAGAAAATACAGTCAAGGAAGCAAACTAATAGGTTATATTATTTTAACCCTCACAAATGTAAGAAAAATGGTAGAACAGGAAATCTAAATTAAAATGTACCTACAACTTTATCTCTGCCCACTCCTATTTGACAAACCTGTGATTTTTTTTTTATATGCATTAGCTTTGTTTCGATTTTATTCACTTAACAAGTAGCAAACACTTGTTAAATGAGCACCTGCTACATAGTCCCGGACTCTGAAAATAAAATAGTGATCAAACATACAAAATTTCCTACCCTGGTGTTTACCTTCTAGAAGCAGTAATCAACAAATTACCCTGGGCTGGCAGAGTGGTTCAAAAGATAGAGTGACTGCCTAGCAAACCCAGAGTTTGCATTATCCCTAGTATGCCAAAAAAGACAAAAAAAGCCCTACATGACAGTAACATTCCTATGCCTATTTCCCTCATGTCCTTGTTCACTCTAGAAGTAAACTGAGGGCTGGAGGCAGAGCTCAAGTAATAGAGAACTACCTAGCAAGTATAAAACCCTGAGTCCAAACCCCAGTGCTACCAAAAAAGAAAAAAAGAAGGAAATTGAGATTTAAAAGAAAAAAAATTTTTTAATTTAATTCTCTAAAACAGTATTCCTTTTTTTCATTTACAATCCTATAAAGTGAAATACACAGGCCTCTTGGACATCTGTACTCATTCTGCTGGGGACTGCCTGTTCAGGTACTTACACTATCTTTCTATAAGTGAGTTTACTTTCTATTATTGTTTTAAGGTTTGGTCATCTATACTGCAAACTGTATTTCCACTTTATCATAACAAAAGGCAAATTGATTAGAGGCATTTCACAAATCTGCACATACCGTATTATTGCAGAACCAAATAATGTCCCCTTCATTACCAGTGTAGAAAAGTATTGATCCACCATGTTCCTTCCAGTATTTATCAGATATTAGGTATCGTTGTTTAAAAGTTTTGACAGTATTAAATCCAAAATGATCAACCTATGATTAAAACAAAGCAAATAAGATGTGTTTTAAAGGAAAGAAATTAAATGAGATAAATATAAGAGTAATTCTTCCATTAAAATTAACCCATAGTATAAAAATAGTCAAAAGAAAATTTAAAAATTCATTTGGTTTTATTATTAATATGAATATTGTTATTTTGAGACTACTCTCTTTATATGGTAAGATAAAGCAATGTTTGGTACTGGTAGTCAAGATTGTCTATATAAAAGGATACAATTATAAAATCAAGGGCTCGCAGAGTGGCTCAAGTGGTAGAGCATCTGCCTAGCAAGCAAGAAGCCCCAAGTTCAAACCCCAGTACCGCAAATAAATAAATTTTAAAAATCATGTAGCTACTTAAAAACATAATGTTAAATTGAATTGAAAATAGAACTACGAACATTATTTACTCTCATTTGTTTTTACTTAATTTTTAATTGACAAAAAAACTGTATATACTATTTTAGTATACTATTATACTATTAATAGTGTGCACGATGCTTTGAAATATGTACACATTATGGAATGGCTAAATTGAGCTAACTAACACAAGTATTATCTCACATACTTACCATTTGAGGGGTAAAAACACTTAAAGCCTACTCTCTTAGCAATTTTCAAGTATACAATGCATCCCATTATTTTTTAAATGCATATATCACTGTCTGAATTTTCATTATCTAGATTTCCAATGTCAAAATGTAAGAACTAAATAGATCACTAAAAAGCCCTATAAACACTGTTACTCTAGTACCAATAGACAGAACTTTGCTGCCTAATATCATTCCCAGTGAGAGGAACCAATACAAAAAAAAAAAAAGGAACTAGAGCTTGTTAGTGAAGTGGTTGATTGGTATTTGGGACAAGGAAGTTAAAAGATAAGTTTACACATTATGCCATACAAACAAGAAAAAAAGTGCTCAAAAATTAGAACAGTTACTTTAATGGATATACGAGTCAGTTGGAAGGGACTACCATTGGCTAACATTTTAATAAACTAAAGAGAAGACAAGTTGAACATAAAAAGAAGAAAGATTGTAGTTGATTGAGACATTCAACTCATGAAAATTCATTAGTGCATAAGGATATTTTAAAAAGGAAAAAATTCATTTGCCACCATATAGGTGTCCATTAACTCAATTCTTTACCTTGAAATTGGCAATCAAAAACAAAGAACTCAACATTTAACCCACCTTTCCAACAGAATTCTATTTTCAGGTGCCAAGTAGTTCCAGTTAATGAAAAAAGAAGTGTTTACTCAAATGTCAGCTTATGAAGAATTGTAAAATTAGAAAAATGACAGTTCTGCAAAACTACTAACTCAGACAAGAATTGTCGATTGGAGGTAAAAGCATTAGAAGAATGGATGAGAGGAAAATGAACATTCAGACAGTGTCAAAGCGATACCATAACGAATACTCCTTTGTCACAAGGAGACAATGTAACTCCACAAGGCAGGATTGAACTATCATCATGGTGATCGACATTAGCATCACTATTGCAGGCAGGGGTTATGTATTTCCTTGTGTGCAGGATATGAAGCACACATTACCTACGACACATTCTTGCTAAAAATATTCATTTTGTTATATTATCCCAGACTTTAGATCTAATAACCAGACTCTAAAAAACACAGAGGGTAAAAGAGTAAGTTCAGACACTCAGGTGAGGCAATCAGACAAATCTGAAGGCATTTTACAAAGCAATGGCTAAACAATGTCATGGGAAAAAAGACAGTTATAGACTAAGTGAATTTTAAGCACCATAATAGCCAGGTGCAATGCATGATCCTAGACTGGATCCTAATTTGAAAAAACAAAATATAAATGATAATCTGGTTGTTAGAAAATACTAAAGACTTGCTATGAGTGATCATATTATTTTAGCTGCATAAGAAAATATTTTCATTTTTTACTTAGAGATAGAATGTAACACTGGTCTGTAATTTACTTGAAAATACTTTAGCATAAAAAAGGAAAGTGAATTTAAATGAATTAAAGTTTAATCTATACTGAAAGAAACACACACAATAATATTTTGCAAAATCTCATTGATAAAACATGTCAAAAACAAAAATGACAAAATTATTTTAAACTTAGGTTTAACACCACATATATTTTTTGAGCCTTACCCTTTGAGATTTTTAACTCAACATTTAAAATATAGTAATAAAATCCTGTATCATGGCAAGATTCAGGTGTGACGACTATCTGGAGTTATCCCCACTGAGCCTCTAGGATGATGGAGGTTGAATTCCTCAAGACTTGGAAGATCAGGAGTGAGAAGGCAGTGCCTCATCTGGAGCAGACACAGATTGTGTCTATTCTAGCACTGCTCCAGCCTTCAAGGAACCAGGTTGGTTCTGACCGGAACTAGACATGGCAAGATGTCCCTAGTCATTCTAACACAGATGGGACCCTCCTACACCCAGTTCCATCTACACACATCCACAAACACATTTCATGTACCACAGGTCCCAGAATGCAAGTCTCAAGTTTGCACCTAACTGTGTACTTTCTGATATCTATGATCATCACTATATGTAGTCCTAAAATAGAAGCTATTCTAGTCTAATGACTGCCTACTTCTCAGGAAAATAAGCAGTTTACATGGACTAGGTGTATAATAATGATGTCCATGTATGATATCCTCTTCCCATTACATATGTTAATTTACTCAACCTCTCACAGAACAAGCATGCACTGAACTCCTGTTCTGAGCCAAGTGCTGAGGCAAGCAATGAGATGAAGAACAGGTTGAGACAAAACCTCTGCATTTTACTTCAGGTAATTCAAGTGCATCCACTCAGCTTAAAAATAAAAGAGAACAAGAGAAGCAATGAAGATAGACAGACTAGGGATGCCACCCGATTGAATTCAGTTAGTGCCAGTGGTTCTGTGAGGTCCCCAGACCATCGGCATCACCTAGGAACTGGTTGGAAATGCACTCCCTACTGAATCAAAACTATGGGAGTGGATCCCAGTAATTGTGCTTTAGAAAGTTCTTCAGGTGACTCAGATATACAACTGACATTTTGAAAATGACTGAATAAAGTGCTGGAGACGTGGCTCAAGTTTGAGCCTAGCAAGTATGAGGCCCTAAATTCAAACTGAATTAGAATAAGCACCAAAATAAGGCGTGATTTTGCTATTTCTTCTCAACCTAGGTTTCAGAATACCTCTAATACTATAAACATCTTACTGTGCTGAATGGGCCCTAGTGTTTAAAGCTTTGAATTACCAAACTGGGTATAGTACTTCACACCTAAAATTCCAGTTACTTGGGAGGCAGAGGCAGGAGGATCCTTGGCTCAAAGTCAGCCAAGACAAAGTTAGAGAGACCCTCATCTCAAAGACAAAATACAAAAACAAAAGGGCGAGCGACATGGTAAGAATGCTCACATAGCATGCTCAAAGTTATGGGTTCAATGCCCAGGACAGGTGGGGGATGTTTTGAATTACCTTTCAACACAGTTCCCAAATACAACCAATTGCATCCTATGAAACTCAGCAATAACCATGATCTACTCCAGGCACGGAGGAAGACCAACTGTGTTAGACGTAAAGAAAGGAGGCACCTGCCTCTCTAACAAGATGCCTTCCCATGGGAGTCTCAAAGATAACTTTGCCATATTGACTTTCACCTTACCCACTGACTTTCAAACCTAGCTTTCTTGTAAAATGAGATATTACTGTAAACACCCCACAAAGAATCACATTTCAATAATCCAGTCTAAAGGTTTCAAGTTTGAAAACATGGGTATGTGTTTGTATATGTCATGTTAAATATAAGTGGTTTTAAAAAAAAGTTCTTGCCAGAAGAAAACCTCCATCTAGAATTGCAAAGGTCCCAGGAACTCCAGAACCAGAGAAATCCAAATTCCTTTCTGTGGCCACACCCAAGCACTCCTGCTGCTCACAATCAGCCTTCATTGTTAAGACTGGGGAAAAGAGGGAGAAATCCTCTTGTAGTGGAAAGAAAACACATGTTGGGGTTAACAGAACTGTGAGGACAGAAAAATCACTCAATTCCTCAGAGCCTTGTCATCTTCCTCTGTAAAATAAAGATAACAACATATCAAAGACTTGCTGTGAGGATAGAGAAAATGTACTTCAAGAACCAGGCATAGTTTCTGATATATAATAAATGCTCAGTAAATGTTAGTTCTTCTCTCCATACTATTTGCACATCAATCCTACACAAAGCACATAGATGGGCAAGAGATGAGAATTGCAGAAAATATTCTTAGAATGTCAAAATCTCCTGTTTTCTAAGTGCTTCATCTAAATATTGAAGAACTGGAAATATGCAGGAAAATGCCCTTTGCCACAACATGAATTTACAGAATTTTCTTGGCTTCTTCCCATCATCAGGGATATCATTTTCCAGCTACATAACTAGACTTTCAATACCTAACAGTCATACACACGAGGGACAGTGTGCCCTCTGCTGTCCAGAACTGAGACGGACCTGAAACTTTTCATTCTGGGATCCTGAGGAAAGATTATAAATCCCAGCATGAAAGAACCTTAGAAACCATTTCCATTTCTGAGGAAACTGGACTAAGGTGTTAAATGACTTGAACAAAGAAAGAGCAGGAAACTTATTTTTGTAATTTTGTTTATTGGAATAAATAAAATAAGTAATAGTGCTATAAAAGCAACACAAGCATGACCTCAAAAAGGAGACACACCTATAGCCATGTACGCAGTTCTAAAACATGGTCCATCCCTGTATAGCTATCTTAAAACAACAAAAATGTGTTTTTTCCAAAACGAAGGACAGGAAGGTAAAACAAGTCCTGTCTGGGGGTTGGTTCCAGAGTGTGGGGTGGAATAAGGAAAGGGTGAAGGAAAGTGAAAATGTGGAAATATTATGTACTTGTCTATAAAAATGGAAAAGTGAGATTTGTTGAAACTACTCTAAGAAGAGGGGCAGGGGGAATAAAGGAGAATGATGGAGGAGGTGAATTTAACGAAAATATATTGTAAGCA